TAACTATATATATATATATATATATATATATATATATATTTGGAAAAAGTCTTTCCAACGCCTATAGACAAAAATGAATAGTGATTTTGCCTACCCTCATCATCGTTCAAATTCATTGTGCGGTCACGATTGTTCGGTAGTGTTTTATTTTTATTTTTTTCTACAAATCGGAATAACCTAAAATTTGGAAGATCTTACTGAGGCGCATCTAATAAAAATATAGAAAAAATTATTCGTAAAAAATAAATTGATCAAAATACCCTTGAAATATTTCTGGGGGTATTTTGGTCAATTAATTACATGTAAAATATTTTTTTTATAATTTTTAAAGTTTTCCTTATTTTTGATGAATATACGTTCCAAATATCAGCTCATTCTAATTTGTAGAAAAAAAATGAAAAATAAAACACTACAGGATAATTGTGATTGCGCGATTAACTTTGGACACTGGTAGGGCTAGGCGAAATCACTGTATAGGCATTGCGCAGTATTTTTCATATATATATATATATATATATATATATATTAGCCCACTAGCTCATATGAACATATGAGCCCGATAGAATCTGGGCCGATCTGACGATCACGTATGTCCAGTAGTATTTGAATTTTATTTTTTTTTCTACAAATACAAATTACTTTAAATTTTAAACGTATTTTTATAAAAAATAGATGAATCTTGGAAAAATATCAAAAAAATAATTTACATCAAATAAATTGATCAAAATACCCCTAAAAGTTTTAAGGGATATTTTAATCTTTTTTTCACAAATAATTTGTTTTCTATTTTTATTAGGTGGGTCTTGATGAGAAGAATACACACCTAAAATTTCAAGTGATTTGGATTCGTAGAAAAAAAAAAAATATTTCAATCACTGCCAGACATCCGTGATGGTCAGATCAACCCAGATTCAATATTAGCGGTTGGGCTCATATGTTCATAAGAGCTAGTGGGCTAATCTTAGCATATCCCATATATATATGGAAGATACTACAAAACGCCTATAGACATAAATGAACAGTGATTTCGCCTACCTTCATAACCGTCCAAAGTTCATCGTACAGTCACGATTGTCTGGTAGTGTTTCATTTTTTTCATTTTTTTCTACAAATTAGAATGATATGAAATTTGGAAGGTGTGTTCATAAAAAATAGGCAAATCTATGAAAAATATCAAAAAAATATTTTACATGAAATAAATTGATCAAAACACCCCTGAAAAGTTTCAAGGGTATTTTAATCAATTTGTTTTTCTTGAATTATTATTTTTTGTATTTTTATTAGGTGTACATCACTAAGATATACACATCCTACAAATTTCATATTATTCCGATTTGTAGAAAAAAAATAAAAAATAAAACACTACAGGACAATAAATGTGCGATGAACTTTGGACGATGATGAGAGTAGACGAAATCACATTTCATTTTGACCTATAAGCGTTGAGAAAACTTTTCCTCTATATATATATATATTTATTTATTTATTTATTTATTTATTTATTTATTCAAATCGA